GCAGCGAACTGGAGCTCGGCGACCGTGAGGGTCGGCGAGTCCACAGGAGCGAGCGAGAGGCGTCTACGTCTTAATGATGCGATAAAGCGATGGACAGGCGGTGACCCTGACTAGTTTAGTCCAAGTCGAGCAATCCTTCGGAAACTCCCACTCCGCATAGGATTCCACGTGAAGAACCGCCGACTTTCTCGCTTCTGAAGTTATCGGAGCCGAGATTGAATCAAATGGTGGAGCGGACTCCTGAGTGGGCCAGGAGGACGCGGGTTTTGCAACCACGGTGGTCCTGACCACCACAGTTTATGAGCGACTAATTCTGACGCGGAGATGCCGCGCGAGGCACAATCGGCGGGATTGTGCCGTGATGCCACGTGACGCCAACGGATCGCGGGGAGCAACGTTTGTACCTCGGATACGCGGTTGGCGACATACGTCTGCCATCGCGATGGGTGCTGCTTGAGCCACGCGAGCGTGATCATGGAATCGGTTCATCCATACAAGGGAGGATCTGACAATTGCAAGGAGCTTAACACCCACTTCATTAAACGGCAAAGGAGCACGACAGCATTTAGTTCGAGGCGCGGAATGCTTAATGTTTTGAGCGGTGCAACTTTCGTCTTTGCCACGAGTAAGTTAACTTGAACGCGATCGGACGGTTGAAGAACGCGAAGATAAACAACGGCTGCGTAGGCACGATTGGAAGCATCGGCGAATCCATGGATTTCGACACCGAGGCTATCATTCGAGTGCCCGATCCACCTGGGGATGCGAGCGGAGCTGAGCTGAGGTAGATCAGCATGATAAGTTAGCCACTTCTGAGCTACTTCGGGGGGGACCGGATCGTCCCAGTCTCCCTTTAGGAGTCAGAGTTCCTGGAGGAGGATTTTTGCTGTGATAATGGTGGGGGCGGCCCAGCCGAGCGGGTCGTACAATTGCGCTACGGTCCTAAGAATGAGGCGTTTTGTCAGGCCTGCCTGCGAGTGCGAAATCACGAAATAGAAGGAATCTTCTTTCGGCAGCCACGATAGCCCGAGGACCTTAAGGTTGTCGTTCTTTGCTAGAAAATGCGTGATCAAGTCCTGATGCGCGACCGGGATGTCTGACAAGAGTTCGGAGGAGTTCGCGGTCCACTTACGTAGTTGAAATCCTCCACGGTTTAGCAAGTTTATCAATTGATCGCGCGTGGTTCTTAACCCGTGAGCATCATCGTCACCGAACAGCATATCATCCACGTATAGAGAATTTGCTAAGACAGAGACCGCGCGTGGGAATTCCGGACCGTCGTCGCGCGCGAGCTGTTGTAAAACGCATAGCGCTTGATACGGCGAAGACGCTAGACCGTACGTTACTGTATTGAGACGAAACGATTTTATAGGTGAATTGGCATGCGATCACCACAGAATTCGCTGAAAGTCTCTATCAGCTGGATCGACCGAGATTTGGCGAAACATCTTAGTGATATCCGCCATATAAACGTAGCGCCATTGACGCCAACGTAAAAGGATCGAAGCAGGGTCCGCCTGCAGTTTAGGACCGATCAACAAGTAATCATTTAGTGAAGTGCCATCACGAGTCTTACACGATGCATTGAACACAACGCGCAACTTTGTCGTGCTACTTGATTCGCGCAACACGGCGTGGTACGGAATGTATATGTGATTAGTCGCGGTATCCTCCTCGTCTTCAACGAGGGTCATGTGACCGAGCGTTTCGTATTCGCGGAGAAAGTCATCATATTGCGTTTGAAGGTCCGGACGGTTCCGTAATCTTTTCTCTGAGCGATCATATAGTGAGCGAGCGATCGGTAATGATGCGCCTATTCCTGAGGGAGGCCCTTCCTTGAATGGCAGACGAACGATATAGCGACCGTCGGGGGAACGAGAATGACTGGCTACGAAGTGTGCTTCGCACTTTGCTTCGTCTGCGGTAAGCGGCAGGATTTGCTGCAACTCCTCGTCCTGCCAGAACTTTTGTAATATAAGATTTGTGTCTAGAGCAGCATCGCAATGCATCACGGCGCGCTGTCAGGCTGCGATTCGACGGGGGTCATCGGACCTGACAGGATCCAGCCAAAAACAGTGTTTTGAGCGGTGGGTGTGCCGAGAGGGCCCTTTCTGAGATCCGCCAGCAAGAGCGCGCCATAAAGA